TGTTATTAACCACCCAACAAATCTTCTTGATAGTGGAAAAAGTTACACGTAAAAATGGCATAAATGGTGGGGGATAAATCAGTTAAACCACTGGGATAATACAAGTTTAAGCTCAATTTTACTTCGTAAAATTGAACTTATACCCGTACTACCCAGGGTTTAACTATTAATTATTCACTTGTGATCAATTTGTTTCAGTTGTTTACCTTTGTTTTATTTATACAATTCACTACCAAAAACTAATTTTTTTTAAACTCAGTTCAACTCGAGCCTTCTCAACTTAAGATTTCTATTCAAGTAAACAAATAAACGAATAATTCGAATAAAACGAGTTGTATTACGAATAAAACTCTAACATAATTAAATGTTTTTGCATTTCGTTTTAATTATTCACAAATATCCGAACAAATTTTCTTGTTTCAACGAATTATAATCAAATTCGCATTACAACGAATTTTTAAAACCATATAAATTCGTTGAAATATGATTAGTAATTTGGGTATAAATGCAATTTTCTTATTATTATGTGCACATAGATTCGTTGAAACGAGATTTAAACGTATGGTATATTTCAGAACCTAAATCAATTTTTATTAAAAGTACAATTAAAAACATAAAATTTTGGAATTGTTTTCATTGGAAATTTTTTAAAATTTTAGCCTGTCATAAAATTATTGATGATTATATTATTAAATATAATCTTGGCTCGTTAGCTTTTAAATAATCATGTATTTTTTCGCAAAAATCATCCGCAAATCGCCAAGTCAATTTCTAAATAAGGATAACCCACTAATAAAATTGGATATTTTCATGATGCTGCACAAAATTACGGATGGTTTTTGCGGAAAAATACATGATTTTAGCTATTAAACCAGATTTAAGAAATTGCTTTGACCAATTACGAATTAGACGGAAAACAGCAAACCTGATTTCCATTGGTTTTTTTCCTGTTATGGTATTGATTAATAACGGAAACTCGTTTTCATATCATTAACAATTGAATTCAAATTAACAAAGCTTCTTCATATTTCCTTTTGTCATTCTCATCAATATTATTATAGTATTCACAAATCCGAATAATGTTTTCATTTATATTATTATTTACACTATTATTATTTGCCAATGAATTTTATTTCTCAAGAAACCTGTTAATTTAATTGTGTTTACAGCATCCTTTTGATTTTATGCTTTTTTGTGATAGGTATTGTACAACCTTTAGATTTAGCAATCTCTTTCTACTCGTATGACATTCATCTGGATGTGATTTGTGTACTTGTTCTAATCAAAGATTTTTTTTTCATATGTTTGGGCGTTGAAAAAATCTTTGGGATTATTCATAAAGAATTAATTTCATTATGATGTCTAAATTTACGAGAAGAAGTGATCAGTTGACGTGTTTGTGTGATTTGCAAATGCATAAATATTTGCCAAATATTAAATTCATAAACATTGGTAACAGTTATATATTTAGTAATAAAACATGCACGTGTCAATATTTTCATGCATGTATATATTTTATCATAGTAACTCTCATCGGAGAAGGGTTCAAAACTTTGTTCACTTTCAAATTCAAAGAATAAATACGGTTTTCTTACATACAAACCGGTTTGCCTCCATTGAAGTTTTTGTTGATGTACAGATAAAATGAGAAAAGCGCCTTCGTGTGAATTTTGTTACAAAGGAAAATTATTGAAACAATCGTTTAATGCGAGGCGTCATCAAGTTTTGGAGATTTATATTTTCTTCAATATAGAGGTTAGAACTGGTCAAAAAAACCCTACTCGGTTAATTACCAGTTAAAAGTATATAAAAAATTTTTTTTTATTAAGCGGAAAATAAAAATCGCACAACTATTGTATGTAATTTATGTTTTTAATATTTTACAAATAATGTCAGTATAATGATTGATTTAATAAAATAGGACGTTTTGTCATTTTAACAAAAACTGATTCAGAATTCTGGCTGAAATGCATGTCGATTCTTTCCATTTATCACAAATTGCGAATTAAGGATTTAGATTTTAACCTATTTTAACCGGTCAAATGATCCTGCTACCAAATGAATTATCGCTTAATGCAAGGCGTCATAAATTTTTGAATTACGCATTCTTCAACAATATCTAAAATCAACATTTTTCTCGCAAGCCAATCAATATTCTGTCATTTATTCTGAGTCACTATTTAAAGGAAATGCTTTCTTACGTTCTTACGAAAAAAAAATAAAAAAAATAAATATCAAATAAAATAAGTGAACAAATTAGAGTTATATAAGAATTATTAATGTCTCAAAAATTGTTATTATGGTTCCATTATCATTTTTTAGGAAAATATCTAAATCAGTCCTCATTCAAGCAAATAGAAATTAAAACAAAATTTTGCTTCTTCCACGAGGAAATGAACTTCGACGAGTCTGGTTATTAAAGGAGAATAATAATGGTGACTTCACTATTGTTAATTTAAACAAAGGTGGATTTGATTTTACGCCGTTAATTACAAACGTAATTTTGGACTCCTTGGAAAAGTATAATCCAACTCATCGATCTGACGAATCACAAAGATTTACTATAGATAATAATCTTAGCAATCCAGGTCATGTGCTTCCTGTAGCCATTGAGTATAGTTTGGACATTGGACAAAATATTATCGCCGAAATTGGGCATTATCAACAATCACCAATCGTTATCAAGGAGTCCAAAAACTTTCAATTGGATTGGAATATAATTGATATTAATCCTTAGGAAATATAAATTATTTAGTACGATAGTCTCGATCTGCTTATTTTTCAATTTTTTGTGTATAAAAAATATGTATTACAGATAGCTTTATTCGCTAGTAAATTTTTAAGATTACACTTTATTCGTAATAAACTTATTATTATTTTCGCACGATAGCCATACCTATATATGCGTATCTTAACATATGTTAATCTTGCTTGCTTCCCTATAAAACATTTTTTCAGAAAATGTATGGTTTTTCCATACATTTTCCGTGCATTTTGTATGGAATATGTACTAGTACGGAATTATACACGAAAAGAGTGCTTTTCTGTACATATTTGACCTGAATGTGAAAATGACCTGAAAATACATTCCGTACATTTTCCGTGAATTCGTATGGATGCTAAGTACAGAAAATGTGCGGAAAAGCACTCTTTTAATGTATAATTCCGTACATATTTCATACAGAATATGCGGAAAATGTACGGAAAAACCATACATTTTCTGACTAAATTTTTTATAGGGCTTCAGTCTGATCCGCGAATAAGTTAATTATGCACGTTTTTTCAGAAAGATATATGACCTTTTCATTGAAAATTGGCGTTGATAAAATGCAACTTACTCAGCATTAACCATTTCAAAATTAGGTTGGAAAAAAATTCGATTATATTATAGATAGCTTTAAATAATAATTATCATACAAAGGAAAAATTCAATAATAATAATAATAATAATGGTCGCGTAATTGTTCTTTCTGATTGTGCACCATCAGACTATTTATCATAGATCTATTGCTATTTTTTTGGAAAAGAAAAAAATTAATTAATGCAATGCTATAGTGTAATATATTAATAGCAGTAATATAAACCATTAATTCTTATATAAATTTAATTATCCCTTAAACGTACAGGGATTTTTGGTCCAAATTTGTGTAGATCTTCCGAGTTAAATTAAAATACTACTAACAAACCCCGAATCTTTTTGCATTTTCAATTAACATATATTCTGAAAAAATTATTTTAAAAAAATCGTACATACTGGAATTATATTTAAGGTTTTTTATAAATAAAGAAACATTTGTATTTTTTTTAAAAAATTTTTTTTTGAAAAGTTCACTATATGGAAAATTTTAATTATTGATACTAGACCTATGGTTCTTAGACATAAATCATGTGATTTGATCTGCTTAACAAGTTCCATTAGTAGACTTTGCATACTAGCTAATAATTTTAGTGAAGGAGATATAGGTTTATATAACTGTATCGCAAAGTTTTACTATCAAAAAACGTGATCTGCAAGAAAATTTTCATAACAAAAAAATGGGTATTTTTACATTTTACACATATTAATTCCTTACCTGTTATATGTAACCCCAAATAAATTTTTTTAATAGAAGTATGGGGTTTTGAATATCATTTTCTAAATAAGAAAAGTTGTGGTGGTACTCCAGGAAAATGTCTATTTTTTGTAATTTATGATCGCAATTCCAAATTCCGTGCTAATTAGCACGGAATTTCGTTTAAGGGATAGTTGATTTGTGATTCATGCAATTAAAATTAAATTCCAGGGGGTAGCCCTGAAGTTTGTAATTATTATTCAAACACAAGGCGGGATGATTGTTTACATTATCTTTTGATGTAAAAACAGTTTGTTTGTTTAGATGAGTGATACAATATGACAATGATTACAATGATTACGTAGAGGGGATAATCCTATATGTATAATATGTATAATAGGCTCATTATTTTGATCTCTCTGACATAATAATAATAATTGTTCACTTTTTTGATTTTGACTCGAAAAGGTTGTACAGTGTCGGTGGCTGCGGGCCAACCTTATCCAATTAAATTAATTAGTAACGAAAATGTCACTTTCCCGTTAAAAAAAGTAAAAAACCTCAGCCAAAGTCAATTTGAATAGGCAATTAAGTTCAGATATAAATAGGAAAAAAATAAAAAAAAAAATTAATGTCTTGTAATAACAAACTCGAATAATGTCACTATTGTCACATCGTCAAAGAGACGAGCTGTAAGTATATTAATTGTAAATTTTACTTATTTAAAAATATTTTTTATATATCGGTTTCTAATACAATAATCTTTATAATAATAATTATAATAATGATAATGTAATTATAATAGTAATTTTAGTAATAATTACAAGTATAATAGTAATAGTAGTAGCAGTAGTAGTAATAATAATAATAATTAATAATAATTAATAATAATAATAATAATAATAATAATAATAATAATAATAATAATAATAATAATAATTAATCTTTAAACAATATATATATTTAATATTCATATTAAAAATTTTTTTTCAAAAAACTTTAAAAAGTCATAAAGCTATCCTTGATTATCTTTATGCAAATGGTTTTGCCGAATCATTCAATTTGTTGAAAATTGAAGCACAACAAAATGATTTCAATTCTGATCCCAAACAAAAATATGCTGGATTATTGGAAAAAAAATGGACTTCGGTCATTCGGTTACAAAAAAAGGTATTTTTTAAAAAAGAAGAATAGTAAAAAGATAAAGAGAAAAAAAGAAAGAAAATTAAAAATTTTTTTATTTATATAAACGAAAATTTATGTTTAAATTTATCGTTAGATTATGGATTTGGAAAACAAGATTACACAAATGACTGAAGAACTAAACAATGCACCTTTAAGAATAACCAATACTGCAGTTGATTGGGTACCACGAGCACCAGAAAAATATTCACTAACAGGACATAGGAATCCAATTACACGTATTACATTTCATCCTGTGTTTTCTATATTGGCATCTGCTTCTGAGGATACTACTATAAAAATTTGGGATTACGAAACTGGTGAATTTGAACGAACTCTCAAAAGTCACACTAAAGCAGTTCAAGATATAACATTTGATCCTAAAGGCAACCATTTGGGTAAGGGGGTTTTATATCTTTATATTTCTACATGATACATTTATTATATATATTTTAACTTATTTGAATTTATTTAGTATCTTGTTCTGCTGATTTAACAATAAAAGTGTGGGATTTGCAAAATGATTATAAATGTATTAAAACTTTGTATGGACATGACCATAGTGTTTCATCAGTTGCATTTTTACCATCCGGTGATATTATTGTATCAGCCTCACGAGATAAAACAATCAAGTTATGGGAATTATCATCGGGGTTGGTGTATACATACATATACATATATATTTTTTGCTTGTCAATTTTTTAACAAACCATATGTATATCATATAGATATTGTATAAAAACATATACCGGTCATTTGGAATGGGTGAGAATGGTATCACCAAGTGAAGATGGAAAATGGATCATAACTAGTTCAAATGATCAGGTATCATCACATTTATATTTTAATTTACTATGTTTTTAATATCACGAAAATATGATTGATTATTTTTTTGAAAAAAAAAAAACAGACTTCACGTTTATGGGAAGTGCAGAGTGGAGATTGTAAAATGGATTTTAGGGGACATGATCATGTAGTAGAATGTGCGATCTTTGCGCCTATTGCTTCATATCCTTTAGTAAGAGAATTGATAGGTGTAGATAAAGATGTAAGTTTTTTTTTAAAAAAATTTGTTTTAAATATCACATTTTTTATTTTAAAAAATTTATATATATTTATATATAGCCCAAAGGAAATAAAGATCAACCAATTCCTGGTCAATATATTGTAACCGGTTCAAGGGATAAGACAATTAAATTGTGGGATTCGACAGGTCAATGCTTGAGAACTTTTGTATGTAAAAACATAAAAACATTAAAATTTTATTGTTTTTTTTTTTTCAAAAGTTGGAAAAATTTGATTAATTAATAATTATAATTATATTGTGCGTATGTATGTGTATAGGTGGGACATGATAATTGGGTTCGTGGACTTGCATTCCACCCTAGTGGAAAATTTCTTCTTAGTGTATCAGATGATAAGACTTTAAAGATATGGGATGTTAAAACTGGCCGATGCACCAAAACTTTAGAAGCTCATGCACACTTTGTGACATGTATTGCATTTAACACTGGTACTCCTGTTGTTGCTACAGGATCTGTAGATCAAACTGTGAAGATTTGGGCGCCATATAGATGAAAATATGTATATATATATATATACATATACATATACATATATATATAATGCGTGTGTGTGTGATTGGAATCGGATAATATTTAATTGATTAATTAACAATTTTGTTTATTCTCAATTAATAAAAAATAATTTTTTTCTTTATTCTTTATGAAGTAATTAATTTAATTTAAATTAATCATTGATAAAATTTATTTAGATATATAATTGATTAATTCTTATGATTAATAGATTAATTTATTTATTGTTAGTTTATAGATTTATTTATCATTTTATTATTGTATTATTTATATTATATTTATTATTATATATGTGCAAACAGTTCATTATATATGTGTGTGTTTACATGCTTTTTTTTGTTAAAAAAAGCACTATAATAGAAAAATAGAATAAAATGCAATTGTCCAAAGGAAAACAAAAAATCACATCTTCATATAAGAAAGTCTTGAGAGTGGCATTCCGAGCTAGTAGCTCAAGCCAATAATTTTTTAGTATGATATCAAGGAACAGACAAAGTGTAATTTTGTATCTTTGATGTCTGAAATTAACATTTATTTATTAATCTAAACATATAAATACACACAATCACAGTATAACAATAACCTGGAAGATAGAAATATACCTGCCAACATCCGACGTGTTTGTTCGGTAGGTAGACAGGCAGATATATATTAATATGGATTATGGAATTCCATCTGCCACACCCTCTCAAGAAACCTTGTCCCATTTTTTGTCATATTAAGTCTGATATAAAAAAAATTAAATCGTTAATTACAAAATACAAAAAAATTAATTACAAAAAAAAAAAAAAACTTTCATCACAACCAACTTCTATACAAATATAAGATGATATAGGCCAATCTGAAACGAATTCACTCAAGAAATCACAAACCCTTAAAAACCAATTATGCTCAAGTCAATGGTATTATTGGCTCTTTAAAAAGACTAGCTCTTGGGCATTGGTTACAGTTGACCCAGTTAAAGAAATACTTATATAGAGATTAAACAACCTTCCTCCCTTTTTACCAAATTGAATACGTACGGTTAAAAACAAAAAGTAATTTGTTATTTATTATAAGTTATAATAATATTCGATACATAATATATTTGATAATGGAAAAACATGCTAGCCCAAATAATCAAAAAAAAAGAATTATTCAAATAATAATACCGAATTACGTAGTTCAGTAACTTTGAGAGTATCTTTCTTGGTAACCATTACTATGTACACTTGCCCTAATGTAACAGTATATCTATTATTTACAGCGTCTCGATATTATTTGTTGTGTCACAATATTAGGAGTATCTCTTATAGTAAAGATGAATTCATTCTAATTGGGGAAGGAAAGGCTTCACAATGTGAGAAATTACGAGTCACCAGCCCAAAAATCAAATTTAGAAAATACTTTCCGGACATGACCACATCAACATAAAGAACATCTTCTTCTGGCCTTCATGACCATAGTGTTTAGCTCGGACATGTCAGTTCACTGAAGGTCATTTTCTCGAGTCACTTTGCTAAGACTTTCCTATTTTTTTTTTGAAAATTTTTTTTCATATTAGGATCTGGAACAAAAAACAACACTATAGTAGTAATGACAAGATGAAATGACAAACATAAAAGCAGTGAACTAAACCAATAAAGTTGAAAAGTGCAAATTACCAAATATGTTCAAATGATACGTTATTACAAAATGATGTCTTAATTCTGTTTGCTTCAACCGTACTTCTACTTTTTTTCAGATAGTTAACCCGTGAGAATTTCTTGTAACAAAATCAAAAAATTTCTATATCATTTGCGTTGACGTTGAGGTCCTTACTAATTAATACGAACTTCATCAATTGTTATGGTTTCTATTCTAATTAATCCAGTTTTGCTCGTATCCTCCTCCCAAATTGAATTTTTAAAGCAATCGAACATCAGGCTTGCTTTTGCTGATGGTAGCACTGGTAGCAATAAAAATAGATTTTATTTTTTAGAAGAATGATTTTAAAGCTATAAATTTTTCGATAACAATTCTTTTTCTTTTTTTTCCTTTCTATATATATATTACGCTACTCAAATTAACTTCCACTTTAAGAGACAAAATTATCATAAACTATTAACAATGTTAATATCATGCTATTTTTAGTAACAAAAAAGCGGAAAAGAATTTTTTGTGTGGTAATAACACGCACATTTATTTTTCCCAATTCTTTCTTTGATGTTTCGATTATGACTCATGATCCGATCGTTAGAATTGAATGTAGTAAGTAGTCTACGCAATATTGACCAAAACGATCATGATTTAAAAAATGAAATGTCTTATAAAAAGGAAATTGGAAGTTCGATTAATTGCATACACTAGACAACCAGCCAGTTATAAACGGTATATAGTCTACTATCTATAATATATTAATATGGTAAATTAAAATTTTAATTTTTTTTAGCACCACTCACTCCAGGAAAAGCCTACCAAGATTACAATAAATTCCAAGTCTTGATTATAATCCAGGTTGAAAAAATATTTTAATAATGATATTAATCAACTAATCCACTAATCATTAATCCGTTATCAGATAGTTCAACACATTCATACGATTGAAATCAGATCACCAAATAGAACATATTAATATTGATAAAACAACCTTTTGGCCTTTCCGATTAAAAATCACCTCCACCAGGTAAACAAACAATTTGTTCTACAAAGTGCTGATGGAGAATTAGAATATATGCCTGAGCATCTGGTCAGAAAATAATTCATGGTACACTTAATGCTGATGCCATGGTAAAATGAAAGATATTAATGAAATCGAACTATTTTGATTTTTTTAAAAAAGTACATATATATAATTATAATAATTATTGATATATACATTGTATAGAAAATTTTTATTATATCATTATATACAATAATAATAATAAAAATAATTTAAAAATAATAATAAAAATAAAAATAATAATAGTATGATAATAATAATGATAATAATAATAATAATAATTAGTTTGATTTTGATGAAAAATTTTTTTTGTAATATATTCATTATTTTTTTTTTGTAATTAAATATATATATTAAACAGCTTTTTTTTTTTTTTTTTAAGAAATGTTAGAAATTTACATTCTTCTTCTTTCTCTTTTCCTTTGAAAAAGTGGTATTATTTCCAAATCACTTTCATTGTCGTCACCTGGAGAAGTGCTATTATTATTTAAGAAAGTATTATTGGTAGTGATGGCTGACGATGATGATGCCACTGTTATTTCATCAATTTTAGCTTTTTTCCTTTTATGAGTATTGGTAGAATTAGTAGCAACACCTGTAGTAGATGATGATGTTGATGATGTTGATGAAGAAGCTACCACCACTTCATCAATTCGCAGTTTTTTCTTTTTTTGTTCAGCTTGTCTCTTCTCCCTTTTTTGTACTTCAAGCTCAGCCTTTCTCTCCAACTCTGCCTTTTTGGCCTGTTCCCTTTCCAATTGTTTTTGTTTCTTTTGTTCCTCCTTTTCTGCTTGCTTCTTTGCTTTCTCTTGAAGTTTTAGTTTTTTCTGTCGTTCTTTTTGTTCTAACAACTCCAACTCTTTCTCTCTTTTTCTTTTTTTCTCTGCTAATGCTGCAGCCAATTCAGCAACCGATTTTTGTGGTTGTCGACGTGGTTGAGGTGGTATCTTACCAGTTGGTGGAACTTTGGGCCTTTGGAATTTTTGTTTTGGTGGCAACTGTTCATCCTCAATTAATTGTCCATTGTGTTGTTCAGTTTTGAGTTGGAAGAATTCTTGTAATAACCCAATTCGACTACTTGAATCTGTAATCGGTTTCCATGGTGGCGGTGGTGAATATTTGTTTTCTAGTGAATTATCAACTTTCTTAACTGGGTATTTGGTTTTATTAGTTCCATGAAATAATTTCATTGGAACCGACAATGGTCCCAATCCGAGTTCCTTAAATCTAAAGAAATCTTCATCCACCTCTTCAACAATATTACCAGTTACAAATACATCTTCATTTTCCAATAGTGTTTCATCGATGATCTTTTCTGAATTGTTGGCACCGCCACCACTACCATCTGGATTTATAATTTGTTCATTAAAAGCAGTATCCAATCTTCTTCTTAAATCCTTTAGCTTTGTACCATATCTACATATATCATCTCGAAGGTAAGACTCAATATCATTTAATGACCCTATTCCATTTTCATAAAGAACATGCTCAACTATCTCTTCTGGTTTCATTTTTTTATCATAGTCATCAAGATATTTCCTAAATGTTCTACCAATGTTCATTAAATAATCACCAGCAATTTCTGTTAAAATGTGAAGTGGTGTGTTCATTGATGATTCAAAACCAGAATGTTGTAATAATTTTGCTACACAGCACTTCATCACAGCCGAACTCGTTTCATAATTCATTTCTAATGGTGGTAAATCCTTTGGGTCTCTTTTTGGCTTATTATTATTATTATTATTATTATTATTATTATTATCATTATTAGTATTATTATTATTATTATTGTTGATATTACTACAACTACTGCTGCTGCTGCTATTATTATTATTATTAGAAATAATGTCATTACCATTTCTTGTAACGGCAGGAGAAACGCCAGGAATGGAAATAGAAGTGGACGCAACAGTGACAGTAGAGGTAGAAGAAGTAGCAGTAGCAGCAGCAGCAGCAGAAAAAGCAGGATCGTTGAAAGCAAAATGATTTTCCGGAAGATTATTTTTGAGTGCTGCTAATTTGGCATGAAGTGCACGACATTGTTTCAATAATTCAATATTCTGATCGATTATAGGTGCAGTTCCAGTTTTTGGAATTTGTGCTTCAGGATATTCATCAATTGTTGGTGCATTTTCAGTTGGATCATAATCTGGATCTGAAAGCTTGTTCCTATTTGGATTATTGATTTCAGGATCCCATAATAAAGGTAATGGAGATAGAAAAGGTACTTTGAACTCTTGTCTTAACCTTATATCCCATTCGTCTACTTCACAGCCTGAGTCTGAATCAGAATTATCATCATAAAGTTCAATAGCCTGAGCACCTTCTTGATGTGCATTTTTTTTAGCATTATTATTATTATTATTATTATGAACAACACCAATGGTGCCATTATTTTCATTAATATTATTATCATTGATATTATTATTGTCATTACAAATTATTATTATATTATCATCTTTATTATTATTAATTTCCTTATTAATGACAATACCATTATTATTATTAATACCATTGCTATCAACACTATGACTACCAAGACCATTAATATTGACTTTATTATTATGCTCAACACTTTTGCTCATAGCATTATTACTGCTACTAATACCATTACTATTGATCACATTTCTCTCAACATTGTTGTTCACAACACTATTGTTACTACTACCAACACTAATTCCAATACCAATACCACCACTACTGCTACTGCTGCTACTGCTGCTACCAATACCGTTAACAGATTTGGATTTTTGTTCTGTTTCTTTTTTTAACTGTGAAATGAACTCCTCACGACTTAAGATTGTAATGTCTGGAACTGATTGTAGTAATGCATCTGTTTTTTCTCTCATTGCTATCGCATGTTTTCGATACTCATTATCAGGATTTGTATTGTACAAAAGACAATTTGAATAGATGAGATAGAGATCATCAGAGAATTCCTTCTTTGAATTATAATGTGTATTTTTTATTCTTTTCGATATTATACTGAGATCCATAGGATTGGTGATGATTTGATAATAGTCAGGGACTTCTTTTGCATTCACTTTCTTAAGGAAAGGTCCACTGTGTTCTGTATAATTTTTAAGTGAATTAAAGACGCTATTAATGGCTTCATAGAGTTCTGCTTGACCGATCTTATCAGGATTTGACCATTTGGATCCAATTCCTCGTACTTGTGATAATAATAAAAACAATTCACTTTCTTCATGTTTTTGTAACCCATTGGGTTCTTTTTTTAGAGCTTCTAGTAGATATTTAATTCTGTGATCTACTGAAGCCAAGTTTTGTAAATTGCTATTTTCCATTGTTAAATGTGTAAATGTTGTAAATGTTAAAATAATAATTAAACCTGTTACCTAATTTGTTAATGATCTACTTAAGAATAGTGAAACATAGAGGACATTCGATTTTAAGAAACGATCAGCATTAGTTACACCACATATTAAACATATACAAACTGACCCGTCATTTGACTTTAATATATTCTAATCCACTTACTACCTTCTATTTTATATATTGTCAAAGTAATTCGGTAAAAGGTGAAGTAATGCGGAAGTTAGATGGGAGAAGTATTTTCCAAACATTCAAAATAAATAAATATTGAATTCTTTTTTGTTATAACAACTCAATCATAAAAAAAAATTTAGTACGTTTATAAACAATAACTCTTAAACTTTGAAAAAATATTTATAGCTCTATAATAAAGAAACATGTCTGGATCTACTTGACCAAAGAATGATAGGGATATTATTATTATGTCTCATCATATTAATACAAGTGCGTTGAATAAATGTGCAATATAAAGAAACGATCATAACATTCTTGGATCTACTAGAGTGAAGAAAGGTGTGAATATTATTATTATGTTTCATCATAGTTAATGCGTCACAATAGCAAGTGTGTTTGAATGAATAAGTATCTTATTAATGATGTAATATTTGAAAATTTTCATTATGCAAAAAGGATTAATAGTGTAATTTTATGTCACATGATGAGTATTATAATTAGATGATACATTGAGTAATGACAAGGCGCAAAGCTATCAACATTCTATAAATATATATTTTTTACGAATAAAAATATTCAATTCAACGTGGGATATATTTTATTTCTCAAATGATATAGAGATATTATTATTATATTTGTGTTGCTTCAACTATAGGCGCATTTATTACACACATTTTTGTTATTATGATGGCAATAGAAGTTTACAATCCAGTGTTTGCTTATTTGTGCATATAAAAATATTGTCAATGGAGTCATTTGATTGTCTTGAAAAAAGATGGTTATTGCTCTTGTATAGATAACGTTAAAAAATTTATTATTAATAATAAGTGGATTTTGAAAAAAATCTGTCCAACTTCCTTAATAACAAGAGCAGAAACCTTTTATCTTTCATATAGTTGTTAAAAATCAGATATTTTAATAATTGTTGGTAAGAATAATAATTACATACACATATATATGTTTCTGGCAGTTGGACGTTTATCTGGGTTAGCATCTATATAAAGGTTGGAGTATTATTTGAAAATCTGGTCTTAACTTTTTCACTTTACTATTACTGGCTTACTGTTCGAATGGAACGTCCAGGTTCGAACCATATGAACTATCAAATATTTGTTGCTTTTTAGTAGAAATTTTCGGTGTAAAGCTGCTGTCCATTTTGTAAGATCTTTTTCCCAAATATATTTTTTTGCGCACTGCATCTGCCGATTTTTTTTATTTTTAAAAAAAATTTTTTTTAATATTATTAAAAAAAACAAACCAGATCTTAATCACTAACATTTAGTCACTGATTCAGATGTATATACATCACTATCATCATTTCACTTCACTAACATCATCTTCACTTTCATCATCTTCCTGTTCCTCGTTATCATTGCCAGTATCATTAGTGTTTCCATTGACATTATCTTTTAATTTATTTTGATTTTTTGGATTTTTGTAATTATAATTAAAATAAATAAAC